TGAGTTTAGGAGAAATGATGATCTACTATGGTTTTGGAGGGCTATTTATGTGTGGGGCTGTTCCTGTGTAGCTTGTTTGGGTTTAGTATACTTGACGCAAGGGCTGTTTTTGGTACAGTAGCCTGTCTTCTCTTTCCTCAGTGTGAGCTGGTTGTTACCCTCTTGATAGGAGTTAAGCAGATCAGTGACTTGTGCCCAGTCCTGGGCTTCTCAATGCTGGCAGTTCAGGCACACCCCCTGGGCATGCAGTGGGAGTGTGTATAGCTTGTGACCACTCCTGGAGTCTAGGAAGGAGACACTGGTGGCCTGTGACCACTCTTGGCATCCCCCTTTGGAGCCAAAGAAGGCGGTGTCCTCTGTAGGCACGGAGGAGAAAGGCTACAATCTTACCTCATTCTCCCCATGCCCTCCAAATGATGGTGACTGGCCTATAAGGTGGTCCAGGTTTCCTCTTCGTATAGCCACCAGTCACAGTTTCACAGGATTCCCACTCCCTCAGTCTGTCTTAACACAGTCAACCTCAGTCCTTTCCCCAGGTCTGATCCCTGAAGCCCAAGTTCCAGCATCCATCCGCCTCCAGCACGTGTCAGGCTGGGGAGTGCGGGGCAGGGCACCATCTGGGCAGTGTTCTCTCTGCTCTGGCTGCCACTGACAGGCTCAGAAGCTCCCCTTCTGTCCCAGCCAACCTTCCTGATGGTGAAGGGGCTTTTCTAGGTGCAGGAACCTTTCCTCTTTCACAGCTCTTTCCCAGGGGCACAGCTTGTGACCCAACTCCTTTTTTTTTTTTATTCAATCTTTTTTCATACCTGGTTACATGGAGATTTTCTTGGTCCTTCAATAGTCTGAGGTCTTCTTCCAGTGTTCAGTAGATATTCTGTGAGGATTGTTCTACATATAGATGTATTTTTGATATATTTGTGGGAGAAGGTGAGCTTCATGTCCTACTATTCTGCCATCTTGATCTCTCCCTAAGTCTTTTACCCTTTATATTACCCTTTCCTTGTTCTTCAGAGGTTTGGGATGCCAGCCCATGGAAAGAAAAATTAGCTCCAGATTCAGAGGCACTGAAAAATAAAATTGGGAATCCTTATGAAAGTGTATAAGGGGAGAAGTGTGATACAGTAGCAGGGAGGGGATGCATGAGTTGGGGGAAATGATAAGAAATAATGTCTATGAGAATAAAATCATTAGCAAAGCTGTTTAAGCATTTTATGCACGCCTGGAGCAAACGAGTTGGTACTAATTTGTATTTAGTTTATGTGCTCTGATAATACCAAGAGTAACTTGTGTTTATATAGTGACTTAAATATGTAGAAAGTAAAATGACCATTTCCCCAAGGAAGCTGGAGAACATCAATATTAAATAATCTGTTCATGTCCACATTGATGGTAATTAAATAAACCAGGCTCTTATATGTTCTTTATACCAAGCCCTGGTCTTCAGATGCCATATATTATGTGAAACTTAAGGCTAATTGTATCTATCCTGACAGAAATCTCTAGCTCCCAGTTCATTTTGTTTTGTCAAAAGGATTATTAAACCCGAACTGTTAAGAACCTCAATTAGTTCTCTGGCATTCACTGTGCCTTAAATGAAGTTTTTTTTTTTTTTTAATAGTCTTAGTTTGGGGGGTAGTTATCAGTAGAATTTAAATTCTATTTAGTTTAATTTAACCTATATTTACCCTAAAATAACTTTAATTTTTTTCCCTTTTATGCAACTATTATTGATATTTAGTAAGAACATAAAAGAAATAGCACTTGTTGATGTTCATCATGCACTAAATATCTTTCTGAATGATTTTTAGACATAATTCAATATAATACTGTATCTCAAATAAGACATTATCTTCAGTTCAGTTCAGTCGCTCAGTCGTGTCCAACTCTTTGCGACCCCATGAATTGCAGCACGCCAGACCTCCCTGTCCATCACCAACTCCTGGAGTTTACAATTCAATATATACTCAACAAGATTTTTAATAAATGACTGCCATATATCAGGTACTGTGCTAAGGTACAGAGATACAAAGAGAGAAAACATATTTACTGTTTGTGTGGGGTTCTTTTCAGTCAAGGAAAAGAGAGACAATGAAGATAAAGCTAAAATATTGCAGATGCTATGATCACAATATATAATTCATACATTCATTCATTGTGGTTTGTCAGGCACAGTTTTAAGTGCTGGGAAATGACACCTAATGACAGTGAATGAAACAGAGAAAGATCTCTTCCCACACAGAGCTGGCATTCTGGTATTCATCCTAAGGATCACAAAAGACAATCATTTGGGATCATAGAAATGGCTATTAGGAATCTTTGGAACATCAGTTATATATCAAAATGATTGAGTGAACCTCTGGGAGTAAAGCTACTTTTCAATCTGTAACCTCATATCCTTGAAGTGATGCACAGGGTATGCTGTGGAGGCAGGTTTCCACTATCAGGGTCCTTTCTGAAACCAACCAGTTCCTAAAGCTGTCAATTTTCTCTACCTGCACCATCATGAAAGATAAATTCATTTAAGGCCAAATAAGGTAGAATGGTACAATTTGTCTCACTTGATTCAGTGGTAATGTCTTCAATTCTGTGGTGTATGTTAGATCAGAAGAGATTTTTCTTTCTTAAATGGAAGACTCTTAAGGATGTGAAACTAGTTTTCTCTGTTGTTCAGTCTTTCAATTCTGGTATAATCCAAATGTGCCTTTATCCTTCTTTTTCTTTCCTTGTGCAAAAAGATATCACCTATAGATTTTCCATGTTAATATTATGAAAATTTAATAATTTAAGAGAAACTATATCTTCATAAATTGTCATTATTAGTATTGTTTCTTAAGAGGCTGGATATTCTCAATGAGCAAAAATATCTGCTTGCATCCTCAAGTTTTGTTTTGAAATCAAGCAAGATTACTAGTTAATGTGGAACACACATGGAAAATATCAAATGCCAAAACCCTGTGAACTCCTATAACTGATTTTATTCATATTGTTAATTTCAGTGAACAGAGAGCTACAAAGAAAGCTCTTTTGCTGTAGCCTTCATAAAAACCACTTATTTCTTTACATAGTTGTCATTTTTTATTATATTTTTATTAGATGTTTTTCTAAAAATATTGAGTCTACTTTATTTAGTCAGTAAACAATTACTGAGTGTCAGAACTATGCTGGGTTATAATGAAATTGACATATAAAATTATTCACATCAAATGAAGGTGAGAGGAAATAAAGATCACTATGTTAAAGGTTGGTATTAATAATTCTGTGACAGACATATTTTATACTACAGTTATGATTCTAATCTACTTTTCATTTTCTTAGCACATAACCTCTCTACAGTGCTTCTTAAACATTAAGATATAAGGAATAGTCTGAGTGGCATGCTGAAATTGTGATTCCTGGGCCCTAGAGAAATTCAGAAGGTCTAGGAATCTGCATTTTCACAAAACCCAGGTTCTTTGGAAGCTGGTGACCCTTACCTTAGACTTCACTTGGAGAAAGAGTCCCTTTGTGGCCTTTCCTTCTGCAGAGGCTTTCCCAGGCAAAGATTCCATGAGGTCTCTTTCAGTCTTCCACCTACTTATCTTAATGCCATGCTGTCCGGATGGTCAGTTGAGATTTACCAGGTTCATTTCAGTACGATGACTTGTAACCCTCTGTAGTGCAGTGCTTACCATGTTGGAGTCAGCTGTAGTTAGGCTGAGAAGCGGTGAGGCAATAGTCAATGGTGTCAAAGACTGCCTCTAATGGTGGGGCTATCTGGAAGATGATGGAAGGCCCCCCATGGCATGATAAGAGAATGCTTTTTAAAGAAGTTTAAGCACCATCTAGGAACTGCTTACCTGTTGGGGAGTACTTTACAAGTATTAATTATTTAACTCTCATTAAAAAAATCTATAAAGCAAGTACTACTATATGTTCATTTCCCATGAGGACATTGAGGCAAAATAACCCAGCATCACAAAGCTATTATACCATGTGGTAGAGCAGGGATTTGAACTCAAGTGGTCTGATTCTAGGATTTGGTAGCATAATTACTATATGCCTTTCCCTTAGTCAAAGGAACATCCTTTGATCCTTTTGCTACCACGATTCATATCAGAATGACTTCCAGTAAGTTACACAAACAGATAGAAAAACAAACAAGCAAAAATTATCTCAAAAGGAAAACAATACAAACATGACATAGGATAGATTTTAGTGTATTTTCAGATCAAAGGTGTATTTCAGCTTCAAATTACAGGAATGCTCTAGTAAAGCAAAAAGACCCCAGTAGACACACAACAATGTAGGGTAACATATTTCCTATTCTCAGAAGAGAAGATAATTCCTTTTACAATTGTTTTTTCCCCTTGAAACACAGGATATTCCATTAAGAGCATGAATTTTTGAGTCAGAAAGATCAGGCTTCTAATTCTTACCTGTCACTTACTTGCTTGATGATCTATGGCAGTTTGCTTACCTTAACTCTCAGCTTCTATGGAATGAACATGCCAATACAAGCTTTGGTGAATATTAAATGAGATAATTGTGTGAAGTGTCTTGTGTCAAATGGCTTGACAGTGTCGAGAAGGTTGCATTCTTTCAACAATCAGTTTCTATTTACTGGTGGTATTATTATCAGCAGTGGGTTTCCTTGGTGGCTCAGATGGTAAAGAATCTGCTCACAATGCAGGAGACCTGGGTTTGATCCCTAGGTTGGAAAAATTCCCAGGAGAGGGAAATGGCAACCCACTCTAGTACTCTTGCCTGGAGAATCCTGTGGGCAGAGAAGCCTGGTGGGCTACAGTTCATGGGTTTCCCAAAGAGGCAGACATGACTGAGTGACTAACACACAGTAGTAATAAATTTAATACTCTTAGTAGAATGTACTAGAATATTTTTGGTGGAAAGAATTTAAAAGTTGAATTGATGGCCAATCTTCCTTTTGACATCATGATTATAAAATGTTTATATTGTGCCTTTGAGATGCTCTGATCTATGACTGGCCTACTTATCTTTACCAGGTGTTCAAGCCAACACCCCTCAACTGCTAGCCCTGGCCTCACGCCTGCGGGAGAGTGCTGAACTCTTTCAGTCAGATGAGATGCGTCCTGCTAATGACCCCAAGGAAAGAGCTCCCATCCGAGTGCGGATGTTGAATGACCTTCTCCAGGACATGGAGAAGAGCTTCCTAGTGCAGCATGCGCCCCCAGGGTTTTACAGGTAGGAAGTTTGCTCAAATTTGGTATTTTCATGCCTCTTAATGAAATATTTGTGTTTAACTTTCAGAATATGACATGTACCTTCTGTGAATATAAGACTGTTTTTTTGTGTTTGTTTGTTTTTAATGTGAAGTAGTCATTTTATCTATAATTTGAGGCTCATTCTCCTCCACTCAAAGCAAAGTTCAACTGCATACACGGTGAATAAAGAAAACTTTAGTTTTCTTTATATCTGTAGATATTGATATTATTTGTAGATATTGATATTATCTATATCTATGATACTACTAGTTGGGCTTCCCAGATGATGCTAGTGATAAAGAACCTGCCTGCCAATGCAGGAGACATAAGAGACAAGGGTTTGATCCCTAGGTTGGGAAGATTTGCTGGAGAGAGAATGGCAACACACTCCAGTATTCTTACCTGGAGAATTCCATGGACAGAGGAGCCTTATAGTCCATGGGGTTGCAAAGAGTCGGACATGATTGAAGTGACTTAACAAGAGTATAGCACATGATACTAGTTAGCGGTATCATCTAGAAAATGACTAAGAATTTTTACATTAAATTCAATATGAATCATATGAGATACAGCTACTGAAAAACTAAATGTATTGTAGGTTGCATTGGGAGAAGTACTGAATCAGGAGATAAGCCTATGTTTTTATCCTAGTAAGTCCATGTTTACAGCTTTGTGTTTAATTCTAGAAACTATTTACATTTTAAGAGGGAATTAAATATGTTTAATAACCAACTCAATAGACATGAATTTGTGCAAAGTCCCAGAGATAGTGGAGGACAAAGGAGCTTGGCGTGCTACAGTCCATGGGGTTGCAAAGAGTTGGACATGACTTAGTGACTGAACAACAGTAGCAAAATTTTCAGGGGGAGAGGAATTTATAGGAATGCTGCTAAAACCAGGTTATGAGACATATTTGGCTAAATCACCACAACAGAGTGATTTCTGAAAATACTTTCACAATTTTAACAAATACTTTAATAAAACATTTCATATTCAATTTAATCTCTTAGAGGATCACACAAGCACATACTTGTTTTTCTGGTTCTTAGAAATAGTAGAAATGAAACAAAGAGGGCAAGTAGAGTTTCCAAAAATAAAACATTTTAATTTTTTTTAATTGCTAACAATCATTGACTACTTAATATGTCTTAGATACTATGTTAAACCCATTCCATGCATTAATTAATTTAATCCTGGCTAAAGGGTCAATGGATCAGATATTCTTAGGGTCTCCATTTTACAGATGAGGAAACTGGGCTCAAGAATGCTAAATGACTTGCCAAAATACTAAAGCAGACTTCAGAGAATATCCTGTGTCTCACTTTACTAATAAAATGTTTTTTTAATTTTACTTTATGTTGGAGAATAGTTGATTAGCAAAGTGTTTGTTTCAGGTGTACATCAAATTGATTAAATCATATTTCAGTCACATCTTTTCCAAACTCTTTCATACTTAGGTTGTTAAAGAGTATTGAGCACCATGACCTAGGTTATACACTTTGTTTAGTAAATAAGTCAGTTTATATTATTTTTTTTAGATTCCACATTTAAGTGACATCATAGATATATGTCTTTGTCTGACATTTAAGTGAGTATGATAATCTGCAGGTACATCCATGTTGCTACAAATGGCATTATTTCAGTCTTTTTAATGGCTGAGAAATATTCCATTGTACATATGGACCACATCTTCTTTTTCTATTGCTCTGTCAATGGACATTTAGGTGGCTTCCATGTCTTGGCTATGGTAAACAACACTGCAATGAACATGGGGTGTGTGTATCTGTTCAAATCATGGTTTCTTCCAGATATATATGTTCAGGAGTGGGACTGCTGTATCATATGCTGGATCTATTTTTAGTTTCTAAAGGAATATGGTTCTGTATAGTGTCTGAACCAATTTTCATTCCCACCAAGAGGGCAGGAGTGTTCCCTTTTCTCCACATCTTCTCCAGCATTGACTGTTTGTAGCTGTTTTGATGATGGCCATTCTGACCCGTGTGAGGTGATATCTCATTGTAGTTTTGACCTGCAGATCTCATTGGAGTTTCAATTTGTGGATAAATTGAAAAAGCCTTGCAGACTTGCGATCCCACTTGATGATGAAGTGTAATAATTTTAACATATTGTTAGATTCAGTTTGCTAGTATTTTGTTGAGGGTTTTTGCATCTATATTCATCAGTGATATTAACCTGTGCTTTTCTGTGGCGTCTGGTTTTGGCATCAGAGAGGTGGTGGCCTCACAGAATGTGTTTGAAAGTGTTCCTTCCTCTGCAATATTTTGAAATACTTCAGAAAAAAATATGTGTTAGCTTCAGAAGGATAGGTGCTAAATCTCCTCTAACTGTTTGGCAGGACTTACCTGTGAAGCCCTCTGATCTTTGACTCTTGTTTCTTGGGAGGATTTTTGTTTTGTTTTGTTTTGTTTTGTAATGTTCCCTGAACTCTATTATGATAACTTCTTTACAAATGTTTATCCCCAAATTTTCTCCTTGAAAAACATTAGTTATGAGTATAAAAACATACATTTGTACCAAGTTCACTTTTGGGGCTTTTGGTTTTGAGTTATTGTTGTTGTTCAGTCACTGCAAGTTGTGTCACTCTCTGCAACTTCACGGACTGCAGCATACCAGGCCTCCCTGTCCTTCACCGTCTCCCAGAGTTTACCTAAATTGACATCCATTGAATCGGTGATGCCGTCCAACCATCTCATCCTCAATCACCAGTTATCTTTCTGCCTTCAAACTTTCCAAGCATCAGGGTCTTTTCCAATGAGTCAGCTCTTCACATCAGGTGGCCAAAGCATTGGAGCTTTAGCTTTAGCATCAATCATTCCAATGAATATTCAGGGCTGATCTCCTGTAGGATTGACTGGTTTGGTCACCTTGCAGTCCAAGGGACTCTCAAGAGTCTTCTCCAGCAGCAGAGTTCGAAGGCACCAATTCTTTGGTGCTCTGCCTTTCTTATGGTCCGACTCTCACATCTGTACATGTCTACTGGAAAGACCATGGCCTTGGCTATGTGATTTTTTTCTCTTTTTTTGCTTTTTAATATGCTGTCTAAGTTTGTCATAACTTTACTTCCAAGGAGCAGGCGTCTTTTAATTCCATGGCTATAGTTAATTCTACAGTGATTTTAGAGCCTAAAAGAGGAAATATGTCACTGCTTCCACCTTTCCCCTTTCTATTTGCCATGAAGTGATGGAGCTGGATGCTATGGTCTTAGGTTTTTGTTTTTGTTTTGTTTTATTTTTTTTTAGTACTGACTTTAAAGCCAATGTTTTCACTCATCTTTCACCCTCATCAAGGGGCTCCTAGTTCCCCTTTGTTTTTTGCCATTAAACTGGCATATCTGAGGTTGTTGATATTTCTCCCAGCAATCTTGATTCCAAATTGTAACTCTTCCAGCCTGGCATTTCCCATGATGTGCTCCCATAAGTTCAATAAACAGGGTGACAATAAACAGCCTTGCCATACTCCTTTCTCAATTTTGAACCAATCAGTTGTTCTAACTGTTGCTTCCTGACCCATATACAGGATTCTCAGGAGACAGGTAAGCTGCTGCTGCTGCTGCTAAGTCACTTCAGTCGTGTCCGACTCTGTGCGACCCCATAGACAGCAGCCCACCAGGCTCCTTTGCCCCTGGGATTCCAGTGTACAGCCCACCACATGTCCAGTGTACACTTCAATGTATACCAGTGTACAGTGCTATATACTCCAGTGTATGTCCAGTGTACACAGTGCAGTATAATATGCAGTGTACACCCAGTGTACATTGTCCAGTGCCCAGTGTAATATATGTCCAGTGTACATCCAGTGTCTTCTCTTCTCNGCCTTCTCCCAGAGTCCACAAGTCTGTTCTATACATCTGAGTCTCTTTTTCTGTTTTATGTCTTAAGTATCTCCCTGGTGTGTCCCTTTTCTCTCATCCTGCCATCTCTGTCTTACTTCTTATCTTGATGGTCTCTGTCCTAGATTACTGCTGTTGCCTCCCAGCCAACTCCATCACCGGAACGATATTCTTTTTAAATCTACCATTAGAGGGACTTCCCTGGAGGTCCAGTGGCTAAGACTCCTCACTCCCACTGCAGGGGTGCAGGTTCGACTCCTGGTTGGGAAACTAAGGTCGTATATGCCTCAATGTGTCTCATGATTTCCTAAAGTTCATCAGGGTGGACTGGGCTCCCCTGGGATGCATGGAGCCTCCACGACTCATTCTGCATCTTGTTCCCAGGTAGCAGGAGCAGAAGCTGTTGCTGGGCCATCGGGTCACCATGAGCACAAGTGGGGAGGCTCTTGAATCTACTCTTTGCCTCTCAGTTGCATGAACACTTGAGAGCAGTGATACTCTAATGTGTGCTTCCTGATTTCTGAGACCTCAGAACAATGTCCAGCTTTTCCTGCCTCATCCTCTCAGAGGTTCTTCAGGATTGTTGTAGACTGAGTTCCCAAAGTCTGTCTGTGCTACTAGAGTTCCTTACACCTCTAGGAGCTCCACTAGCTTCCCACAGTAACTAGAGGAGGAAACTGGCAATATAAGATCTCTACCTTCAAGGAGTTTAATTCAAGAGGTAAAATATATAAATCATAATAAACTTCCTGAATACTTATGAAAGTACTCAGTGAATGCTACAGGCAAGGTGTGCTATTGGGATTCACAGAAGAGAGAAATTACCTTCTGGCAGTCAGAAAATTTACAGAGGATGGGAGAAACTTATCTGGTCTTCAGGGAGTGGTAGGATACCCGATAAATTTGGGAGTGCTATAGACTGAATGTTTGTGTCCTCCCAAAATTTGTGTGTTGAGACCTAATGATAATGTTTAGAGATGGGGCCTTTAGGAGATAATTAGGTCTTGAAAAGTGAAAGTGAAAGTAAAGTTGCTCAATTGTATCCGTGTACAGACCCATGGACTGTAGCCTACCATTCTCCTCCATCCATGGGATTCTCCAGGCAAGAATACTGGAGTGGGTTGCCATTT